TAAAATGCAGGCTAATTAAATTCCTTATTTAACTTGATGAGCATCTGCTTTCTGTAGTCACATTCTTTTAAACAGAACCTTTGTAGCTGTTTCTCAGGATCTGGCTATCACGATTTTTACCGTGATCAAAATGGGGAAATACCCCCCCTAAATAAAGGTGCATGCATTCCCATTGCCTATGACCCTTGTTATTTATAATGAGAGACATATAGCACCGCCCAGGCAGACTGCAGCAGCGCCTTGCAAGCATGCTGCCCTGACACTTCAAGAGCACTCCCTGTTGTGGAATAATTGCTATCCCAAGGAGCCCAGTGGAAGTCACTGCGACAAGCTGGTAGCAAAATACTGCAGCTGACAGCAAGTGTTTTCTAGATCAGGCTGCTATACAAAATATAACAAACAAATCACCTTGTGACTCCCCCCTTCTATAGCAGATGAGACTCCCAACATAAAGGAAAATCATCTCTGTTGAAGGAGGAGGCTTAACAAGCTTAAGCACACACTTCAAGTTAAGCATGTGCTTAAGTGTGCTGTTTGCCAAGACCAGGTTCTGGCTCACTTTCCATGCACTGCATTCATGGAGGTTTCTAGGATGAGAGCAACCTTCCTGCATCATTGGTTGAGTGAAGACTGAGGCAGAAGAGAGTCCTGTGCTGAGTCCACGTTCCTAATTAAAGCAGTGGCCTTATGCTGCTCCTGTCTAAGTCACAGCAGAGGATGGCAAACAGTTGTATCAGAACTCACTGTAAGCTCAGTGCTTTTAGGAAAGTCTTGGGCATGCCACAACCCTAGCTCTGTCTCTTGGAAACCCCCTTGGCATCAGACTTTGCAGCCCACAGAAGTCCAGAGCTGCTCTGCCAACTCCTCTTCGTCTGGAGTCTGCTTTGAGAACCTCCAAGGAGAGATGCTGCTCCTGTGCAAGGGCAAAGGACCATTAATATTACATTGGTGGTTGATTATTTAACATCAGTGACCTCTGGTGCTCCTGCTTAAAGGATTTCTCCATATCTCTGGGTCTCTCATGCACCAGGAAGAGAAAGGGCAGAGAACTGTGGCTAGCTTTAACAAACAGGATCTCAAAAGTTGGCTTCACATCAATACTAAGGCCATAGGATTAGCTGCTTATTCTGAGCTTGAAAACCAGGCCAGTAATTTAAACTCCAGAATACAACTGGGAATGCAACTTGGGTTTGTTTAGCCTTGTTTCCTAAGGAAATAAAGCTTATGCAGTTAAATTCTCTGTGTTTGCACACAAGCCTTTCCTTCTAACTTCGCACCCTTCTGCCAGTTCAACTGTGTTTCACCAAGATAAAGTTCTGTTCGGCATCTGGACAAAAAGACCCAGTTGTGTAGAGCAGAGGGATGTGCTCTGCCCTGATCTTAATCGTATTATAAGACATTGGAGAGTCCACATTGCTAGTGCCCTCACCCCAGCTGGATCACAGCTCATGTGTTAAATGCTGGTGACACAGAAGCTTTGGAAACACTGTTTGCATCTCAGTGTAGGTTTTGGTTTTTTTTTTTTCTCTTTTAAATCTTTTTTCTGGGGGCCAATGAACTGCCCCCCCCGACCTGGGCTGCACTGCATAAAAGATCAAGAGTCAGCTCAGTTTTGCAGCAGCCCTGTGAGCGTGGCAGCGGCCTGGCAGCGTAGTGGAGGCCATGTGCTGTGCAGACCATTGTTCTGGACTGGAGCTGTGGAGAGGAATCCAGCCAAGAAGGACAGAAGGCAGAAAAGAGACCCTGCAATCTGTTGGAGGGGTTGTACTATAAACAAGAGCAGGAAGGCTTCAATGTGCCAGGGAAGAACAAGCTGTGTAGATAAAAGAGGCTGCTTCAAAAGAGTGGAGGGTGACTAATTTTCCTTGCACCGGGTGGCCAAAGAGCAGGGAAAAAGAAGTGGTCTTCACTGAGCTGGCAGTCAGAGGAGGGGAGCAACCTTCTCATGCTAGAAAAGCTCACAGAAAAGCCTCTGCAGGTCCTCTTTCATCAGAGTTTCAAGGTCAGCTGGATTCAGCAAACTCCAAATGTTGTCTTTGGTGCTACAAAGATGCTCGGGGAAAGGGTCTGATTCAGAGACAACTTGCAGTAGTAGCTGGGCTGTCAAATGGGCCAGCAGGCCACGGTCCTTGATGTGCCTTGATGGCAGAGGGAAAGTAGAGGGGATTAACAGCTGTCTAAGAAAAGAAATCCAGGGAGAACTGGTAGAGGGGGGATGCAGGGTCAGCATCCCCCCAAACCCAAGCACCCCCCGGCCCTCCAAGCCCAGGGCTCTGGTTCCCCATGAGGAAGCTTAGACCCCGCTAAGGACCCCAAACCAGAGCAGAGGAAGCACAACCCCGCAGCCTACAGAGGACAGGTGCTGTAAAATGTATTCAGGTCAGACCCAAGCAGCCCACAAGAAAGGGCTTCTCCAGCCAGAAGCAGCTCTGCCAGTCCAGGGGCCTTTCTCTGACTCTCCTGCCCCAAGACCTTCTCTGAAGAGCTGCATGTCCCCAGTCCAGCCACTTGACTGGTTTTAGCTGGGAAGGAATTGATAAGGCTCATGAGCATGGGATTAATTTATTTTAGAAGGTGCAACTAAAAGTTCTCCACAGCTGGTCAAAGACTGGCACATTTGGGCACTGGTAATGGTGTCTCTGAGCTCAGTGTGGGCTACAAAAACCCTCCAAGAAGCTGGGGCATCTGAGGGCCGTTAGCCTGGGATGGTTTCCAGTTGTCTGCTGGATGGCCTTGCTACACACAGCAGCTCTGCATGCAATTCAGCCCCAGCAGAGAGTGCAGGCTGGCCACACATCCAGGATGAAGGTGGCTAGCTCTGTCCCTGTGAAAAGCCACCAAAGTGTGTTGGAAGGCTGTGGAGTGGGGTGAATACATTCACTATGACAGCAGTAGGACCTCCTAAGAGCAGCTCAAAACCCCTCAAAGGACAATCCATGAGATTCCAGAATAGCTCTGGGGTCTTGGGTCATTTGTATTTTGGATATTAGCTGCTGCTTATACAAGATGAACAACGCAGGCAGTTCTGTCCTCATTTGGGAGCCAGCAGTCAGGACCAGCCAGCCCAGCCCATGAGAGGATGTTTAGAGCATGATCCAAGTGATGGAAAGATCCCGGTAAGAACAGCACTGGGAACCCCTTTTCCTTACATTTTTTCACCGATGGAATCATTTCTTTGGAAGTGGGTAAACCATTTCCTCCACAGCAGAGCTGGGGTGTGCTAACCCTCCCAGTCCTCCCAGGATTTTCGTACTGCAGCTCTGCTCCCTGACCCAGTATGTGGAGGGTGAGTCCAAGCCACTGCTGGAAGCATGTTCTGACTGAAACGACACCTGGAGTGCTACCAGCAAACTGCTCACAAACGGCCTTTCATTTTGTAGGTCTGTTCTCTGCATGGCTGGGCTGTTCCTTGTGCCTCACTGAAGTTGTGCCATATGGAGCAAATGCTTCAACGTCTGTCTGTGTGTCTGCCTGACCATGCAACCCAAGAGCTCTCTGCAAACGATGCTCCGCTTTCATCATTTTCACAAGTTGGGGACAGTCCCCGATAGGGGCTTTTCTCCACTTTTCCCAAGTTTATTTTTTTTTTTCCCAGATCTCGCAAAGCATGAGGATCCATCACCAGAGACCTGGAACTGGATAGCTGCTGGGAGGGAGAAGGTGGCTAGAAACAGTTGCAGGGTTATGCTCTTGCATGTTCTCTCTCTCCCCCATATGTGACACTGGGATCTGGCTTAGCTTTGGGCAATTAAAAGTGTGACAAGAAGGAGAAAAAAAAGGTGTCTCATCCATTCCTTTCTCTCTCTGCTGCATAGCCAGCTGGAGTCTGCTGCCTTGCGGGGAAAGAAAGGGCAACAGCAGAGGATCTGAACAGACACCACGGGGCTGAGCATTCTTCCCTAGCAAACCTGCTTTGCAGTGAGGGGGCCCAGAATCTGGAAAAAGTTCCACCCTTACTTTTTTTCTTAAGAGAAGCTGGGACAAAACCCTGGACCAGGACCTCTCCTCAGCCCTGCGGTTTTCTTTAAAAGTGGTGTATTTGCGAGCACCTGTGTCACATGGCGTGCTCATGTCTGCATGTGTGCAATTCCCAGGCGAGCAACAGCACTCCCAGGGTTGTGCTGTGTGTCGAGTTGCACCTCGTTCTTGCTGCCTGCCTTGTTTTTCTCAGGCTGATGAGCTCCTGACTAATGGCAGTCGCTGCTGCTTAATCAGGAAGCAATTTAAGGATAACCTTTTCTAATTAACCAGCAGAAATAAGAATGAATAAACTGTGAAACAGCCAGCTGGCTTCGGTGTCCCCAGCCAAAGGGTCTGTCAGGTGGGAGAAAATGGCATCTGGGGACAGGGATGGCGGCTCCAGACCCACCACTGGGCAGGGTAGTGAAAGTCAGAGATGGGAGGGGGTTATGGTGCTCCCCAGGGCCTTTTCTCAGCTTTCTCCCCAGGTATTGCTCTGGTCACGTGCATGGGGATCACGACTATCCAGGAAGGGCAGCTTGATGTGTATAATCAAGGCCTATGTATAACTAAAACCCTGGGAGACCCTTTTATTCAGAACTTTGACACAAATATGAGTAATTAGCTTATTATGAAGGTGTTCACAGAATCATAGAACAGCCCAGGTTGGAAGGGACTTTGAAAGATCATCTGGTCCAACCTTTTGTGGGAAAGGGAGCCTAGATGAGGTTATCCAGCACCCAGTCCAACTGCATCTCGAAAACCTTCAGTGATGGGGACCCCACCACGTCCTTGGGGAGGTTGTTCCAGTGATTGATTGTTCTCACTGTAAAAAGTTTCTTTCTTATATCAAGATGAAACCTCTTTTGGTGCAACTTGTTGAACAGCATGGGGCCCGGTATCGATCCCTGAGGGACCCCACTTGTGACAGGCTGCCAGTCTGAGTAAAACCCATTGACCACCGCCTTCTGTGAGTGCCTGTGAGCCTATTTCCTACCCATCTCACACCTCACAGACCACCCCTCCAGTCCATATCTGACCAGTTCGTCCAGCAGGAGGCTGTGGGAAACAGGGTCAAACGCTTTGCTGAAGTCCAGGTAAACAACATCCACTGCTCTCCCCATGTAGACAAAAAGTATTATTTTGTTGTAAAAGGTGATCAGATTAGTCTGGCGTGATTTGCCTTTGGTAAATCTGTGCTGGCTTTTTCCAATCACCTGCTTCAGTTGGTTTGTGACAGTTTCTAGGAAGGCTCGCTCTACTACTTTCCCAGGGACTGGAGTAAGACTAACGGGCCTGTAGTTTCCTGGGTCCTCTTTTGGGCCCTTCTTGTAGATAGCTCTGACATCTGCCCTCTTCCAGTCGCCAGGGACATCCCCTCACCTCCACTACTTTTCAAAGATTACAGACAGCAGCCTTGCACCACTGTAAGCCGCTGCTCTTAGCACCCTGGCGAGGATTCCCTCCTCACTGCTGACAACAGTGTTTTCACCCTTTCTCATGCATTACCTCCATCTTTTATTCCCCACTCGCAGCCACTCATTTAAAAGCCACGCACACCAGAAGCAGCCGGTGAGGGACCCCTGACCCAGCCGTACAGCACTAGGTGCTGTCCGGGACAAAGCCTCAGACAGTGGCC